CTTAATTTTATGTTTATCTTTAAAACTTTGAACAAAATGAATATTGTTTCAATATTTTGAATTGTTTGATTTTGTGGATTGTTGGATTTTGGATTTATGAATGGTGTGAACTTATATGTTTGGTGTTTTATTCATTTTTGCATCATTTACATTATCATTAGTAATATGACCAATTTTGCCATATCACATTATTTATGAATATTGATTTATGAAACTAATGGCTAACCTCTCTTTTGATTGTGATCTTAGCAGCTTAAGCTTATAATTAATAAATCAATTGGCTAAATGATTTTCAAAACCTTGTTTTACAATGTCTTTTTGATTTAACAAAAAGGGGGAGAAGAATAAGTGTTAAATATGTTTTACATGATAAATTGAAGAAGTGTTAAAGTAAGGGGGAGTAATTTCAAAACTTGATTTCAAAAATCTTAAAATTACTAAAATGTTTTGTTATATCAAAAAGGGGGAGATTGTTGAAACATTTTAATATTTCGATATAATAAATTAAGTTAAATGGATTTTAAGATTTTCCAAATGATTTTCTAAAGTATATTCGATATAACTATTCGAATATCAAAACATTACTCCAAATATTTCAAAAATCATTTTTAATCCTTACTTAAGTGTAAAATTAAGTTTTAATCATAAAACAATTTCAAAATAATTTTACAAAGTATTTCGAACCAATTCAAAGCCAAAAATTACATATTGCTCAGAGGGAACCGATTCCCCCCCATAGGAGGAACCGATTCCCCCCCATAGGAGGAACCGATTCCCCCCTGAATGGTTTGGCTCCGAGATTTCCAGAATGCTCGGAGGGAACCGATTCCCCCATAGGAGGAACCGATTCCCCCCTAAACATTTTTGTTCCGAGAATTCCAGTATGCTCGGAGGGAACCGATTCCCCCCCCAGGGGGTACCGATTCCCCCCTGTTCAACGGTCGAAATATTTGAATTTTACACTTAGGGAACCGATTCCCTATGAGGGGGAACCGATTCCCCCCCACGCTCCAAGATGTTTTATTAAATGTTTTCACACTAAAACGGCTATAATATCTTCTCTAATTATCCCCAACGTTCAGAAGTGATCCAAGGTGTATTTAAGCAAGCTTAGAAGCCATTGATCAACAACAAGAAACATCAAGCAACTAGAATCAAGAGAGAATCAAAGAGAAAGCATCAAACCTCAAGTTTGAGCATTTCAAGCCCATTTTCATTCAATATTCATTTTGCTTTCAAGAACACTTTTTGTGCTCAATTGTATTCATCTTTGAGTGTTCTTTTCTTTGTTCTAGAATTGTGCAAACATCTTACCTTGTGAGGTTTTCTTGTAAGTTTGCAAATTTGTAATCTTCTCTTTGAGAAAAGAGTGTTCTCAAGAGTTGGGGTATACTCTTGAGGGAATTGTAAGGTTATCTCTTTGGCCTCAAAAGAAAGAACAAATTAGTGAATTTGTTGGAAAATCCTTAGTGTGGATAGCTAAGGTAGTGGACGTAGACTTTGTTTGAGAAAGTCGAACCACTGTAAATCGCTGTGCAATTATTTTCAATTTTCTGCAAAAGCTTCCACAAAATTTTTATTGCCAATTCACCCCCCCTCTTGGCCAATTTCGTCATTCGATTAACTCAACATCTAGTCTCCAACAAGTATAGAATTTCAACTTTATTTTGGATAGCTCTCTTGAGAACTTTATCTTGTTTTAGAGGACAATTAAGTCCTCTAACATTCCAGAATGCAATAATCATTGAGAAGGATTATCAGTGGTAACCCCTTTACCACCATCAACAGAATTCAAAGACTTATCACTTTTATCTTTCTTCTTTTTTTTCAAATCTTTAATTAAAGAAGCCACACCTAAAAAAGCTTTCTGAGGATTACGATTTTGGCTTATGTTAATCGTGGTTGAATCATCAATCCCACTTAGGACATCAAAACTATTAGATAAACCTGTTGAAGATGCCTTTTCTTTATCTTTCAATAGCCTACCCTACCTTTCTTGCTAGCAGTTAGTGAATTATCACCATTTATAATTTTGGTTGGAACATTAAGCTCAGAGATTGTAGAAACCTCCACAGTAGAAATATTTGCTTCAATAACCGTAGTATTATTGACAGGATTACTAGTTTCAGTAGTTTCAACAGTTTCCTTAGAATGAGTATTGCCGTTATCTTGCAGTAATTCAATTCCCCCAACCACAGGCACAACCTCAGCAACGTTAGGGGGACCTTCCTTCTTTCTCCAGAATTGGGCTTTTACAGGATTTTGATTTTTAACTTCCTTACAACCCTTCTCTGAGTGACCAAAAATACCACAGGTTTTACATCGAGAAGGCATCCAGGGAATTTCAACCATGACCGAAATAGAATAACCTTCATTTAGCACTACATCAATAAATTTAGGTATTTTATCGTTGACCCCTATTTCGACGCAAACTTTAGCGTATTCAAGATGATATTTGGCTGCAATAATCGAGTCCATGGAAAGGGGAATTCAAATGGCACTCGAAATGTAACTTAGCCCAACATGAGAGAACAGTTCCAGAGGAACATTATAGAGATGAACCCATATTGGGATTCTAGTTAAATCAAAGTTCAATCTACCTAGGTTCGGTTCCCATTTTCTTAAGATCAAGGGTTTGTTTAAGATATGCCAAGGCCCGTTTTCTAGTACCCAGCTCCTATCGGATTCATAAGAAAATGTGAAAACATAGAGATTGTTGCCAGCAAAGCTTACCTAGACATTGTTACCCGCAAGAGCTTTCTTCCATAGGTTTTCAAATATGCGTTGCATTGAAGCAAATCGAGGGGCTGCACCAAGGAATTGGCCAACCAATGCATGTTTCCACTCTGCAATTCCAATTTCCAGAACCTCTTGAGGAGGCTGCACAATCGTGGAACCATCGCGAACCCTAGGCGGGAAGTATTCTAAATCTTGTCCCATAGAGCATCCAAATAGATTCCTCCAGTTCATTGGGGCTTCACTCATGGTTGGAGACAGAAATGAGAAACGGGAAGGACGTAACGCCAAAAAGGAGAACGAAGACGTCGGAGACGCAACGAAAATCCTCAGATTCCGTTAGGCCAACTAACGTGCGCCCAGAGGAAATCTTGTCCCTCTTTTTTATTTATTTTTTATTTGCAAGTAAAAAAATGATAAATCACACTTTTAGTCCTTAAGTTCCATAGACTTCATAGTTTGAATTCTGAAGTTTCCTTGTATTCAATTTAGTCCTTACCTTCATCAACATTTAAAAAAGAAAAAAAGATGACCGGATGAACGAGTGGATAAACGAGCCAATAAATAAACTTGTTCATCGTTTATTTAACTTAATAAACGAACATAAATGAATGTTATATAAACACTATACGAACATTTCATCAAGACTTCATTCATTTACACCATATGCTTGATAAAAGCATGGAGCTTGATAGCTCTGATTCGTTTGGTAAAGGCATGAAAGGACTGTAACCTTGAATTGAACTGGGGATCCTGTGTGTCTGGTTTTTGTTTCGAAGCTATGTAACCTTTGAAGGGACTTGTTTGGATTGCCTTTTGTCTGCTATAACGTGAATGCGTCTCCATTTCTGATATCAATCACATCATCTTCCTCTTGAGTTTTTTCATTACCCAATTTTATTAATCAATTAAACAAGTGAATCTAACAAGATTAATTTCGATTTAAATAGTTAAATAAATAAACACGTGAAATTTAACCATTAAATCAAATAAAATCATACAGTAATTTAAGAATACCATGTTCATTTCGGTATAATACATGTCATGTTTTGAAATTTATGTCGAGTTTTACTCTTTAACCCAACTTCTTCATAGTCCTAGAGTTTTCCCACTTTTGGAGAAGTACAGTCTGAATCCTTTTCCATAACACTACATATAAATATATATAATTAGTATAGGTGTAGGAGAAAGTAGAGAATTTAGAGTGCACTGGTGCATGTGATTCTACCAAATTAAATTAATTAATTACCATGCAACTGTTTTGAATCATAACCATTGCATGTACTATTAGGGTGGGATTGATATTGCTTTCAAGGGAGTGTTTTTGAAATAAAATTATTTTTTATTAAACTGAGATAATTGCTTGAAGAAGGCCTGGGTTGAAAGGGTGTTTGCGGGACAATTAGAACATGTGAACTGTTGAAACAACCATTTATTCTTTATATCGTAAGATTCTTTTAAAACACTACTGATTCGACAAACGATCTTTATCGATCCTCCAAATGTTAATCGTGACAAATCAAAGTGTGAAAGATTAATGTTATAAAATTGTCACTTGACTATTCATTATATTTCAAATTCATCATTTTTCGTTAAAAAATTGACGACAATCAAAGCTAAATGTTAATATATTGTCTGAGATATGATAAAATATGATCTCAAAATCTCAAACGATTATCATATCTTAGACAAAATATTTTATAACTTTTAATAGTTGAGGTACTCAAAAAAATAACATTTTATGATTGAGAACCACTTTGTTACTTTTGATAGTTAGAAGACTCAACAAAGTAGTGTCTTATAGTCGGAAATTATAATTCATCAAATATTTTCCAATTTAAATGAAATCACTATTTATTTCATAAAGTTTCCTTAATTTTATCATATTTTGTCTTTGCTTTTTTTTTTAGCTCAAATGTTTTATCCCATGCATACCATACTCTTTTAATTAGTAAACTAAACTAGCCATAAACAGAAAGACTATAGGAAGGATTATGACGTAAGATATTGAAATTTAGCTAATGAAGCAGTAAATTTGTTAAATGATATTATCTTTAACTAAACCACTTTGTAATAAAATCGTTTTAGCTGCAAAAAATTGACAGCAATGCACGTATAAAACAGTTAATTTAGGTACTGGAATCGAACCAAATTAGTTAGATCATATGTTTTTGGTAAAAATAAATAACAAAATAGAATAAAATATATTTATTTTGGATCATAAAATAAAATAAGTTAATTTGACCGGTGTATCTTCTTCCCCTCTTTCTCCCTGATTTCCCTTTGATTTCTCTTTCTGTTTGGGGGAGGTTTCTTTTGTTGCTATTTATTTCTTTTCATTTTCTTTCCCTGGCGCCCTATGGAATTTGGTCACTAGAGCTCATTCCTTTTTGATACCCTTTTCTCTTCGTGATCGTCATGGGGATCTGTGTATCCACCGCCAAAGTCTGCGGCTCAAACGGAACCAGCCCCTCCGCCCACAACCGCAAGGAAGAGCAGCCCTCCGCCGCGGCACCGAAAACGGCGACGAGCAATGAGAAAAAAGAGTCTCATAGGCCACCTACTAAACATGACCAGCAACAACAGAGGAGTTCTCAGCATCAGAATCTCAAAGAGAAGGCTCATTCGAGGAAACAAAGCGGGAACGTGCCCTGTGGCAAGCGTACGGATTTTGGGTACCGTAAGGATTTCGACACGCATTACACGATTGGGAAATTGTTGGGGCACGGGCAATTTGGTTACACCTATGTTGCCGTAGACAAGGAAAATGGGGATCGTGTGGCCGTTAAGAAAATTGATAAAGAAAAGGTATCTCATTTCACCTGTTTATAATCCTTTGCACCATTATGCTTCTGGGTTGAATGCCATATTCATGATGGGATTTTTTCTTCTTCTTTTGTATGGTAACTTAAAAATGATAGTTTTGGGGTTAATTTGGATTGAATTTTCGGTATTGGTGCGGATTTTGGAAATTTGGCTTGTATTTTGGATTCCTTGTTGGTGTATGTATGTGTATGTATGTATATTATAATTTCCTTTGTCGTGAGTATGAAGCATGGCTATGGGATGTTGGGAACCTTTCTCTGTATGTGGAGAATTTGTTCTTTTCTCCTTTTGGTTGGCCTTATTTTGAATACTTATTGCATAAATATGGAAAAAATTGGTGGGGTATATGCGATAGCCTGGTTGAGCTATGAGGATCTTGCATCTGTTTAGCAATCTTATTTATTACAATCTTAGGATCTTTGTATGCAAAATTTGCTTAGTATGATTTTCGTGATTTCCATTTTGCTGTAGTTGAATTCGATTGCAACTTTACAGTTCGAACTAAAACTGAATTCGGTATAAGCAGATGGTTCTTCCTATTGCGGTGGAGGATGTCAAGCGAGAGGTCAAGATATTGAAGGCCCTGAAAGGCCATGAGAATGTTGTTCAGTTTTATGATGCATTTGAGGATGCTTCCTACGTATACATTGCTATGGAGTAAGTTTGTAGATGTTATCTTTGTTTCTGGCTGTCCATTCGGTTCTGATTTTCTCTTAATCCTGTCATTTCCATTTTCTTGTCTTCTGATATTTGGTTTTGCATAAAATGGTTTTGTTTTCCTGGTGACACATCTTTTTCTATCTTGAATATATTACGTGTTGACGCAATCTGATTCTAGGTTATGTGAGGGTGGAGAATTGCTGGACCGGATATTGGCCAAGTAAGGATACTTAATTGAGTCAATACTTTCTATCAATGTTTTTAGTAGTGTCACTTCCAGCGGTTAACTTATGCTTGCCATCTTCTATCAGGAAGGATAGCCGCTATAGTGAAAAAGATGCAGCGGTAGTTGTACGACAGATGCTCAAAGTTGCTGCTGAGTGTCATTTGCATGGTTTGGTTCATCGTGACATGAAACCCGAGGTACATGTTCAACTACATTAACATGGCTTGTAAATTTTCTGCATGCTTATGGTTCCCTCGTTCTTTCTTCCGTGTAGAATTTCCTATTTAAGTCAACCAGAGAGGACTCACCTCTGAAGGCTACAGATTTCGGTTTGTCGGACTTTATCAGACCCGGTATGTGGCATTTTTTACTTGTAAATGACATAATCTTCATATGACAAACATCAAAGCTATATAATATTGACTACAAGTAAATGCAGGGAAGAGGTTTCAAGATATTGTTGGAAGTGCCTACTATGTTGCTCCTGAAGTATTAAAAAGAAGGTCGGGGCCCGAATCAGATGTATGGAGTATCGGTGTAATTACCTACATTTTGCTTTGTGGGAAGAGACCCTTTTGGAATAAGACTGAGGACGGCATATTTAAGGAGGTCTGCTACATTTTCTAATCATGGATCTTGATTTATTGTTTTATTGCTTTCTACCATTAGGCATTCCTGCTATGCCTGTTTCTGCACCATGCACATGTCACATGAAGATGACCTTACTTCGGATATGTGCGCACTTTGTTATTTTGTTCACCTTCCAAGTTACTTTACCATCTCTGACGTGTTATGTTCTGGTTTTATTATTTAATAGATTTATTTTCTGGATAATTCATATGCAACTCTGTAACTTCAGGTTTTGAGGAGCAAGCCCGATTTTCGTCGTAAACCATGGCCAACAATTAGTGACAGTGCTAAAGACTTTGTGAAGAAGTTATTAGTGAAGGATCCCCGGACTAGACTAACAGCTGCTCAGGCCCTATGTTCGTCGTTATATTATTTCTTGCACATCAAGTTTACATCTAGCTCCTAAAACAAACATTCTACTATGTTATCGTTTTATCCTCCGATTTTGTCAAGAATATCTGATTGGTTTCAACTTCTTCAGCACATCCATGGGTTAGAGAAGGAGGAGATGCATCTGAGATTCCTGTTGATATATCTGTTCTGAGCAACATGCGGCAATTTGTGAAGTATAGTCGATTGAAGCAGTTTGCTCTGAGGGTATCCTAGCTTTTCTTCCTTTCGAAACATTACTGGATTATTTTATAGGCACTAGAGGCTACTTTTCCCTCGTTTGGTTGTTCATCTCTTGATGCATAATTATTATTAACTTATAGGCATTGGCTAGCACACTTAATGAAGAGGAGATAGCCGATCTTCGGGATCAGTTTGATGCAATCGATGTGGATAAGAATGGTTCTATTAGTCTTGAAGAGATGAGACAGGTAAACATTTCTATCACACCTAACATCCATTACGTTACACGGAGTCTTTTTCTGTTCAGCCTAAAAAGGATGGTTTCATGCAGGCCCTTGCTAAAGATGTTCCTTGGAAGATGAAGGACTCACGTGTCCTAGAGATTCTTCAAGCGGTGAGTATCGGTTTCCCGTTCTTAGTTTCGCCTTTCCTTTTTACTGGTTCTGATTTTGTGCGGTTGCTAATTTCCTTTGATCTCAGATTGATTGCAACACAGACGGGCTTGTTGATTTCACCGAGTTTGTTGCAGCAACTCTACATGTGAATCAAATGGAAGAACATGATTCCCAGAAATGGCAGATGCGGTCGCAGGCAGCTTTTGAGAAATTTGATGTCGATGGAGACGGATTCATAACTACGGAGGAGCTTCGATTGGTAAGTACTTTATTTTGGTGTCATCGGTGGCACAACTTTGTATGAAGAATGTTAACAATTATGTTCTGTTTTGCAGCACACGGGATTAAAAGGTTCCATAGACCCTTTGCTTGAGGAGGCTGACATCGATAAAGATGGAAAAATAAGCCTCTCGGAATTTCGCCGACTCTTACGAAATGCAAGCATTGGCTCACGACTTGCACCTGGAGCTTGTCCTCGACCTCGTTCTCAGAAAAATCAGAAGCAGTAGGTTAGAATAGAACTTTTGAGGGTGGAGAGGGATGAGGATGGAACGATTTCGGGTTTATATTTCTCCATGAGCTGAGCAAGGCCAAGGGGCCTCTTTTACTATAGTTTTGGTTGATGGCATGTGGTCCTCCGGTTGGTTAATTCACTGCTGACAAGATATTTCTGGATATGCGATGGGGATACATACATGGTCATTCTTGTGTACATTTTCACTGCTTGGGTATTTCTTGATTTACCCTCCATATCTGTAATGTGATTATAGATAAATTTATTAATGGAAAACATGGAAATCATGCCTCTGTTTATGTTATCTTTTAAATAGACTGCTATCGTTGCCACCTTATCTGGGATTCGAACTTTTAAAAAATTATATCAAAAGTTTAGGTACGTGAAGTTATAAAAGTTTTAAAAGAATGTGAAATTAATTCATTAAAAGCAGTTAAATTATATAAGAGTTTAAAATTTACAGAAAATACGATCGTTTTCCACGTCTATCCATTATCTAATATGGTTGGGGGAAGTCATTAACTGCGGTTGGACCTTTTGGGAGTTCAGTTGTTGGACATCGAAACACCCGTCCACTCCATTAGCATCAGGAATTTAGGATACGAGGAGAAGACTGAGGAGTCGTGGTTTGAGGAGCTGACTACTGAGTCCATGAAATGGGCTGACCGCTGCTCACTTCTCATTGATTGCCTTTGTTGGACTGAGTCTAGGATATTATGACAACCCAACTTATTTTTGTTGAATTTATTGACAGGGATCAGACCAGGGGAAGTAAGTGGATTCGAATTTATATCGAGAAATTGTCACATGACCGCTTATACATGCAAAGTAAAACAAAACGGTGGGTGCTACATGTTCCCTTGGAACACAAAGAAAGAGGCGACTTATTTTTGGTTGCCTTTTCTCTTCGGGAAATTAAAAGATCTGTTTCTTGATTTCGTTCTCAATCAATACCACTATTAAACAAACAATTGTGTATGTTGAGAGGATTCAATTAACGTGTATATATCCCTGCCATTGCCAACGTTTATTAAGCTTTACGAAACTATAGATTATTGCACTTTCATTTTCTCCTGGTTCTCTCGGCTTGAGGATACCCAAATTTTATGACCTTCATGCATGTGTCATGCCTTAGAAAAGTAGAAATACCAATACAAATCATAAAGAAAAAAGTTTTAAAAGAAGATAATGATATTGTAACAAATTATATCAAAAATCATCCTATTAATATGACCTTCATGCATGTATCATACTTTTTTTTTCATGTCCTCTCAGTTCTTAAGGCTTCGACTTGACTAATCTGGATCGACTCGGGGTTGTACAACTAGCTTTGGTGGGTGAGCCTCTCAGCAGAGATTTTCTGTATACACAACTATTCGAACTCGAGACCTACTTAAACAAAATCAAACTGTTTACTATTCGAACCAAGTCGTTGATAGAATGATACATATTATTAATCTCATTTAGTCATTTTTTAAAAAAGAAAATAACGAGTCTATGACACATTATTGTATTCGTTATTACTAGTAAAAGCAGGAAAAGAAATCAAATATTTCACACAATAAACTGAGTGACACTATGTTTCGTTTTGATTAGACGGTACACAAGGTGGGCTTTGCCAACAAAATAAACTATTGAGGCATTGATTGTTCGTCACTGGCTAGCTGTAAACTGATACAATCCAATGCGTTTGCTGTCCAACATTATTCTCAAAGTGCTCATTGTTAACTATCTCATTTTCAGGTGTTAGCACGTGAAGATACCAAGTATGAGCACCTGATCAGATTGATGATAATTGGTTCCGCGTTGTAAGGAGTTGTTCAATAGTCTTCCGAAAAGAAACATACATGAAATCTGTTGATTATACGAACACACAATATTATTCAGCACGAAACACATTAAATTATATGCACATAAAGCAGTACCTGCTCTTTCACTAAAACTGATTGTTGCAATGCTTCAATTGCATCTTCTTTTGGTTGCAGTGAACGGCGAAATTCCTCAATATTGTCTCGGAGTCTAGGTATTTATGGCATCAGAATTAGAAAAAATGATAAGGAATAAAATTCTATAGGCTCTATCAGTCAATGTTAAGACAATGAGATTCATATTGAAGGATAAGTGCTTTTTTTAGGTTCGACTCAGTGGTTAGAATTATGTAGTTCAACAATGATTATACTTATTATTTGCACTTTGTAATTGTTGTCTCTCAGCATCCATTGCTTTCAATGCTTCATTTGCTTGTTGACGTGTGCGTCAAGCTCTTGCTGCAGACCCGACTGTTGGGATGATGCTCTCTCAAGTGATTCATTAACTTCACAAAGCCTGGCCTCAATGTCATCTTTTTCCCGGAAATAACTGTTGGTAATGATTGGGTTGTTTTTTACAACAATGTCGTTGAGGCAAGGTGAGTCGACTTTGGCTTCATCTTATGATCATCGAGTGCGGTCAGAGCTTCATTAGTAGGAAATAGTTACAGATAATTAGATATAAATAAGCTGTCTTTCATTGTTTGCAGTTGGAAATGATGGCAGGCAGTTGCTTTTTTCAGTTGTGTGGGGAAGCATAAGTGTTGGTATTGCAGTTTTTGTGAGGGCTAACGGCAGGATTTTCTGCATTCGGCCTCGTTTGCGATTGCATAGTAAACCTGGCTGTTGAGATACATAATCTACTAAGATGATAGGTTCACAAAATGTTTGGTTATCTCCGATAATAGAATCGGGTATGCTATAAAGAATGTGAAGAAACACATTGTGTAGTTTACATTTTCGGCGGCTTATGCCGTTTCCTTTACAATAGTTATTACTTTATTTTAGTTAATCTTAAGGTTGGCCATTCCAACCTTAACGTTAGACTGAACATTCATCTCTTTCTGATGTGAGCTCTTGACATTGAGCCATGGATGTTGCAGACACTGCTGGGCAGTCGGTCTCTTCTCCGGTGCAAAATCCAGGATAGGACAAAGAAAGCCAACGAACTCACGAGCATCATTCTCAAAGAATTTGTATTTATCCACCAAAAATCTATCCAGTGGCCTAAACTTCAGCCTTCGAATCCTCTTTAGATCCCCATGTCTGTCGAAATAATCCTTCGATCTAGCTCCTCCGATGGCAATCTGCTTGCAGGGAAGCATCAGATGAAATGTGTGTATCAGAATAGTTCTATAAACAATAGAGGACATTACCTTTTTAGGCATCTTTCCAAGAAGTTCCATCATGAGAGCAAGGTGATCCTACAAAACAAAACCAATCACAAATGTTATTTGTGGCAATCCTTTTCTCTTTTTATTTGATTCATGATCATTACGTATGTTACTTGGATTCAACTTTGAGTGTCGGATATGCATAGATGCCGTATTTATAGACGATGCATGCAAAATATAGGACAATGATGCATGTATAGAACAGTGATACCTCATCTTCACTGAATCCTTTGCCACCTTTAGGGGCAAACATCATGTCCCCAGTAGCAAGCTCAAAGGCAGTGCAAGCAAAAGACCACATATCAGCTGGAAAGGAATAACCAGAACCTAGTATCACCTCAGGAGCTCTGTACTGTCTGGTCTGAATTTCATCGGCAAAAGGTTTGTCGGCCCAACATGCATTCCCGAAGTCGACAACCTTGCACCTCAAATTGATCCCATCCATAGATTTCGCCAGTTTTGGAGCTTCAGCTTCTCCTCCTATAGATGCTCTTCTTGCCCTACTTTTCAGTCTTTTCTCGACCATGGACATGGATCTGCCGTTTAGACCACTCGCCTCAGGCCTTTTGAGTATCGGTGTTAGAGCGGACCTGATCGGATCCTTGGCGGGATTAATGGTGGATAAGAGAAGGATATTTTCGGGTTTGAGATCGGTGTGGATGATGCCGAGTTCCCTATGCAAGTAATCCAGAGCTATCAATACGCATTTGCATATCTCCCGAACTTTATTCAATTCAATCCCTTTGTAACGTCGGAACCTGATTAAACGGAGTAAGCTATCGCCGAGGAATTCGAGGACCATGCAAAGATGTTGGCCATTGGGGCCACTGTGCTTAAAGTGATCGATCAGGCGCACCACACACTTGGAATTTGAAGGGTCGCCATTGGTAATAGATAAAAGCACTTCAATCTCATGAAGGGCGGCTTGAGCAAAATGTTCAGCACTTTTCTGAATCTTTAGAGCAACATATTTCTGATTGAAACAAAAAGGATTTAGATAACATTGCGGTGCATACATATATACATAGGGGAAAAGGGCTTACTGAGGATTGTGTATCGTAAGCGAGCCATACGGTGGAGAAATGACCCCATCCCAGCTTCCGTTGAGCGATGTAACGACCAGCGGCGAAAGAATCTCCTATTCGTACCGCATGATATCCCCCTTTCCTGTATGAATCGAACCCCTCGTCCTCCTCCTCCGAACCGGATGACGAGGAGTAGGACATTTCCGATCACCCTTTTCCCCCTTGTTTCTCTGTTAATGATATCGTTATTATTGGATTCCAGATAATGTTGAATACTTCCATTTCAAAGGGTGTCTGTTTTGGGGTTTTAAATGGTGAAATGGGGATGAAACAAGTGTGTTTTGTTTTGTGGTTCCCCACCTTTTCCTGTTTTGGGTTCTCAACTTCACATTTTGAAAGTGTAATATATATATATATATATATATATATATATATATATATATATATATATATATATATATCTTGTCACAATTCATATTCGTCAACTATACGAATATATAATCCATGTTCGTCAACTACTGCTTTACTCTTGAAATCACGGGTCATCACTTTTGCTATAGGAGACAGACCTTGGTCTGGAATTATAACAGGAGACATTCTTTCGACATCATCCTGTGGCATAGCTATGTCAGTTTCGATGTCTCTTTGTATCGAAGCAGAAATGAACTCGTCGGTCTGCTGTCATGCTACATGCACCGGCTAGAGCTAGAATGGCTGCTGCAATCCATTCAGCTCGTTGCACCAACTGATCTGATCGGTTTCATCGGCTACCAAAACAGTGCGTGGTGAAGCCATTAGAGATAAATACCGATAGGAATGCCAATGTAGCGTGGCTGAAGAAATGAATTGTGCGTGGTTTGAATATTTTTATTCTTTTAAAAATATATTCACAAAATTTAATTTTACTGAATAGAATTATAGATGGAGAGGAAATGAATTTGATTACAAATTAATTAATTAAGATTGAATATTGATGTGTCAAAAAGGATTTAATAAATTTTTAAACTAAAAAATTTTAAAATTAAAGTTTATTTGATTAGTTTTAACTATTAGGACTTAAAATTAAAAATTAAATTATCTAAAAGATTTGGGGACTGCTAGAGCCGTTTTTAACCCAATACCCTGGGCGCTAAAATTATTTAGCCTAACAAACAATTGATGAATTTATTTTACAATGTATGACAAATACTACAATAATTGGTAAATTCATCATGAGGAAGTTACGAATTCATTTGAAAATATTTTTTTAATGGTCTTGGTAAATAGATCCCATGTGAGTCAATATTTTAACATATTAACAGAAATTTGTCACGTCAACATGACACGTGATGAGTCACATAAAAAATTATTTTTTTAATTCAGTAAATAATTTAAAATTTTAAAAAATCTAAAAAAAAGATTACGTAACTCGTCGCGTTGAGTGACGAGGTTCCATTGAATTAAAAAAAAATTAGTCGTTTATAGCTATTGTACAACGGCCAGCTGCAACGGTCAGAATAGAGCTTGTCACCTCGACGCAATGAGTTTGGTGGAATTTTGAGGGAACTAGTCGTTTATAGTCGTTGGATTTGGAGTTTAGGATTTTTATTGTGTTTTGTTAAGAAAAAAAATTGAGAGAAATTTGTATTTTTTTTAAAATTCTTAAAAAAGTCTACTCGAGATAAAATGTTATGCCTTAATGTTGTCCTTATTTCTTCACTCAAACTCGGTAAAGAAGAACGATGCATTCGTCAACGAGGAATAACACTGAGAGATCTGCATCAACGAATTATTATATATCTAAAATAGTATGGGTTGTATTCAGCGACATTTTTGCGTGGTTTTAAGGTGAACTTGACATTAATTTCGATGATGATTGAACGTTGGAGGTCCGAAACACATACTTTTCATTTTTTGAGCGGTGAGGTGACGATAATGTTGGAAGATGTCGTTTATCAACTCAGTGTTCGAGTTAATGGTGTGACACAAGTGAAGCAGAACGATTTCAACTAATTTGCTATTGTTCACCAAGTTTTAGGAAAGATGCCACCACCAAAGGTCTTAGATGAGTACCGAATACGGATAACTTGGTTGGATTCCGAAATTTAATGTGACTAACGACTCTACCGAGGATGAGGACATATTTGCAGCCGGAGCATATCTTCTACAATTGATTGGAGGGATTATTATTATCGGATAAATCTAGTAATTTGGTGCACACTCAATATCTTTATATATTGAATAATTTTACTAAGTGTCGTAATACTAGTTGGGGTTGACAATTTTGACATTTTTATATCATGAACTTTGCAAGGCTACAATCGTCGAAATAGGTCAAAAAATCGATGTTGCGGGTTGTCTGATCTTGCTAGGGCCGGGGCTAGGACTTTGGAGGCCCTGTACAAATTCTTATAAAGAGACCCAGTCTCGGAAAGTAGAGTTAGACCCCAAAAAATGAGATAAGCTTTATAGATGTAGTACAATACTAATTATTGGTATTTCCCATATGACTTCAATAAGATTCGACCGTAGGTTATGTGGTTTTGGTTCCAAAAATTTTATCACTGATCCATAATACTTTGTTTGCTTTTTTATTGTAACAATAGTAATAAATCTAATTTTTTTTTGGGCCCTTGCTATTCCAAGGCCCTGTTTCGTCACGCACTTTGTTCCTCCCTAGCCCCGCCCCTGAATCTTACTATAGTATTAGGCTTGGTATCAGTTCCCATATTTTACGTCAATTACACCAGTCCCGGTTAAATTTCCCCTAGATGCAAGGTAATTTTTTTAACTTTATTTTTTAAGTCAAATTTTAAATTTTTTTTTATGCTTTTTTAAATTTATTTTTTATATTATTTAGATCACGGCATAAAATTACCGAGACTAAGTTGTCGGACGCAAATAAAAAAGATATACGAATGAGGATCGATATCGCTGATCGACATACGATAAATATTCACTGCTAGTTTTAATTATTATATTATATTTTTTAACTTTTTTAACTTTATTTATTCTAACTTTTATAATTAATGTTTACAGTTTTCTTGGATTCTGTATTGTGATGATGAGATCTATTGGTTACTGTCAACGAGATTTTTTGAAGAGTCAGAGTTGTGGTGTGCCGTTATGCTTTGTTACACTTTGCGATTGTTGAGATGCACGCTGCAAATAGAGTGTTGCAACAATTTGCGTCTCATCAATCAATTCCTATGCAAATATTGGATATGGACGCGCTCCATAGAATTGATACGCGTGGGAAGCATAAAGATAATTGGCCCAGGAAACATGATGTCTACATTGAGCAATGGATCAACATCATTTCGATTCCTATGCGTTACAAGATTAAACATGTTGACCTTGATTTCTACATTTTTCCCTACCTCCAAAATTACGAAACAAATGAATATCATATTTAACGACACCAAAAGAGGGGAAATAATAGGAACAACTCAAAGCCAAATTCGCAAAAACCAAGAAATCATTATCGACATCTTCATCTTCTGCTTCTTCTTTTGGCAAATATTTTATATCTCAGACAAGTTATTGTTGTTATTCTTCATATCATATTTTAACGGAGACTCGACCAATTGGATTGGAGATTCATAAGATGCAATGCAAAGCACTCAAGCATCTTTGAAGAACATGCGGATGAGGGTGAATGAAATCATATTATATATGGTAACAAGGTAATCAAGTCGAGTTAATGACAACAATGATATCGTCGAATACCTTAAGTACTCCATCACCGTATTTCGAAGGTAAATCTCAAAGTGAAGTGATGTTCAGTACACCTCATGTTGAAGAAGCAAACGAAGACGAAGACGATCAAGGCGGATGACTACAACTTACTCGACGAGCCCCCACATCATTAGCATTTGATCACTCCTTGACATCATCAATAATATGAAAAATATAAATAAATTTTATTATGCACTGTATTAATGTGTAAGAACTTTTATTATTATTTTGTAATAAAATTATTTTGTATATATTAAACTTATTTTAATATTATTTTTTAAAATTATATTCGATAAAATTCATCACGTCAATGTGACGAGTTTCAACAGTTAAATTTTTTAAAATTCAAAAATTGCTGGTTGCTCAACGACTATTTTTAAAAAAAATTCAATAGAAACTCATCACCTTGACATGATGAGTTTTGTAATTTTTTATTGAATTTAAAAAAATTTATATAAAACTCGTCTCGTCGATGTGACGAATTCCTGTTAATATATTAAAATATTTACTCACATGAGGTCCACTTATCTGAGACCATTAAAAAATTATTTTAAGTAAATTCGTCACTTTAACATGACGAGTTTACTCATTACTGTAACATTTGTCATAGATTACATGACCAAATAATTTTAACACCTAGGGTACTGGCTCAAAGAAAAACCCGCTAGAGCCCCTACCATCTTCCAGTGCATTAATCCACGTATGACCCTCAAATTTACTTCTTTTATTCAATAATTATATATGTACGTAAAAACAAAAATATTTTATTAATTGGTGACATCAAATTCAATCAAGATTATAATTAAAACAATTTTAATTATAAATATTTATTAAATTGTTTTTATAAAAATATTTTTAGCATTTTTCATTTAAAAAAATTAAGAGGATTTTAAAAAGATTCTTCTATTTCAATTGTTTTTCTTTAAAAATGTTAAATGATTTTATTTCAAAAATATTATAAAACTAATTGCTTCCGAATTTCTTTTTTCTCGTTGTGAATCGAAGCTACAAACACATCTTCTCCGGCGTTTCTCTCCTCCTAATCGTAAATTTCCCTGATGCTCTGCTTACTTGGGCTATGGAGCTGATCACTTATTTTGTTGTGATAGACAGCTGGTTTCTTCTTTTTTTTTTTTTTTTTTGCATTTTTGTCTTTATTTCTTTGGATCGTATTTGCACTTTGTAATTGCTTTTATTTTCCAATAATACCATCAGCTTTAACGTTCAAAAAAGGATGTGAGTGCGCCAATTAGTTGAAGAAATTCTACACCCTCTATTTTAATTAGAGTATCTCTGGCATTATTTATACTCCCTCTCTCTCTCTCTCTCTCTCAAATGTCTCTTATTGATTTTTAAAGTGTCAAATTTTGACCTTAATTATTTTATAAAATATATATTTAAAAACTACTTGATTGAATGTTTTTAAACATAATTTTATCAATAATAAATTTTAAATAATGATTAATCAAAGTCTAAAAAAATTGATAAAAAAATTAATAATGAAGATAGAGAGAG